TAATGAAATCAAGCCACACACTTTTAAAAAGTTCATGCTGATATTTTGCCTGTCATGTTTGATGTATTTCTGTATTACATATGGCAGATGGTCTTTTGAATATATATGCACAACATAAAGGGGCGGCATCTGTCACATCAAGCTGCTACACAAGTACTTCCACACGGCACCAAGATCAAGGCCACTCTTTCGCAACATCACTGGCTCTCGTCCGCGGCGTGGTGCCGCGCGGCTCCAGTTGCCCGGCGTTTCACGTCGGGGCGAGAGGTGGGGGAGGGACGGACTACGCAGGGCTGCCGCGAGGCAGAGAGAGGACGACGCGTGTTGTGCGACATTGTCGCCCGTAAGGCTTGGGAGTGGAGCGAGAGCAAGAGCGATGTTGTTTGTTGAAGCCCGCACATCTGTGTGAGTGTAGCTGCAAAGCCGAGACCTCTCTCCCTCCACATGTTGGCTCTGGACGCGCTGACCGGGCCTGTGTTGCGGCTGATGTTGTTTGTTGACGCCGATACTGCTTCTGACGTTTGTGGACGCTGCTACTGCTTCTGGTGTTCGTGGACGTCGATACTGCTTTTGATGTTTGTGGACGCTGATATTGCTTGTGATGTTGGCCCTGGACGCTGATATTGTTTCTGATGTTGCTTGTGGACGCCCTGGCCAGCACCTGCGCCATCTGGACCTGTCCGGCAACGTGAAGCTGCCGCTTCAGGGCCAGATCGCGCTCTTCTCCACGGCCCGCCAGCTGGAGAGCATCAACCTGGCCAGCACCAACACCTCGGACCGCGTCATGTCCGTGATCGGCGCCTACTGCCTCCAGCTCAGGTCCGAACACACGCGCCGGGCGCCGCCGATGCGGTCTGGGCCGCCGGAGGGTGTGCTATGTGTGACATGGCTAGCTAGGTTTGGGTCAGCATCCAGACAAGGGAATGCTGTAGCCACATCCTCCATGTCTTCCCCAACCAAACCACGCAGTTGTACGCACGTGCATGCGCAAGTGTCGTGCGACTTTGCCGTGTGTGAAGCTTAGTAGCCTGGTGCATAGGCTCATGAGCTATCATTTTCTTCACTGATATGTTTGTAGAACACAAACCAAGCAAGGTAACACTGTATCCTGCTTGCTGTGGTGAACCGATTCCATGGATGGTTCAAATGCTATCAAAACTGTATCCGTTGCGCGGCCGTTGAGCGTTGATCCCCGACCGACCACCACCTGGCGCACGGCTGCCTGTGTCCTGTGTCGGTGGAGTCATCGGGCCGGTCTGTGTGGCGGACAGGGAGCTGAACGTGGCGCAGTCGGGCGTGACGGACCTGGGCCTCACCTCCCTGAGCACGGCCGCCCTCTCCGAGTCCAGCGGCGCCGGCGCCTCCATCGTCTCCCTCAACGTGGACGGCTGCAGCGTCTCGGCACAGTCGGCCTACGCCGTCCTCAACACCATGCCCAACATCACCAGGTGAGCTGTTCCGCATGTGTGACGTCATTCGTCGATGACGCGAGCAGTGTGGAGCGGTCTCTGTGTAGCGCCATCAGGAGAGATACCCCAACAGCGTTCGAACATAACACGCTAAGGGCCCCAACGGAATGCCTGCCTCCGTGTTGCAGCATGTGTATAGTATACATATGGCGGCGAGATTATAATGTAGCGGGCTGAGACTCGCAGACGTGCGGAGGTCGGCTCCGGCGCTGACCGGGCGACCGTCCCTGCCTTGCAGTCTGCATCACCCGGAGACGGTGGTGGGCGTCGAGCAGCTGCTGCTGCGCCGGCCGGAGCGAGCGCCGCTGGCCCTCACCGAGCTGCACGGCTCGTCGGCCGCCGGCCTGGAGGTGGCGGCGCCCGGCTGCCCGGCCGTCGAGCTGCTGCAGCTCGAGCTGGATGGCGACGAGAGCGTGGAGCCGGCCGGCCAGCTGGCGCGGCTGTCGCGGCTAGCGCTGAGCGTGCCGGCCACGCCCTGCACCGGCCTGGCGGCGCTGCTGGCGGCGCGCGGCGCCGGCCTGACCGAGCTGGCGCTGACGGCCGTACAGGAGCTGTCTGCCGGCCTGCTGCTGCGCTGCTGCCCGGCGCTGCGCCGGCTCGAGCTGCTGTTCTGCACGTTCGTGGAGGAGGAGGAGGAGGAGGCGCCGCCGGCCCGGCTGGGGCCGCCGCTATCGCATCTGGAGCGGTTCTGGCTGCTGCAGGAGCCGGAGCGGCCGGCGCCGGCGGCGCTGCTGGAACGCGTGCTGGCCGCGCCGCAGCTGTCGCACGTCTGCCTGCAGCACTGCGCAGCGCTGACAGACGCGCTGCTGGAGCGGACGCTGGACGCCGGCGGCCTGAGCCGGCTGCGCAGGCTCAGCCTGGAGAGCTGTGACGAGTTCAGTCTGGACTCGGCGCTCCGGCTGGTGGTGCAGTGCACGCTGCTGGAGGAGCTCGGGGTGCGCCGGTGCCGCGGCGTTTCGCGGCGCGACGCGGCCGAGCTGCGCCGCACCGTGGCGGAAAACGGCTGGCGGCTGACCATCGACTGGCTCTGAGTGGCGGCGGCCCCCTGGCCTGGCCCCCCACCCGCGCGGCGCCGGCGGCGGTGCTCGCTGCGGTACTCGGGAGTCCGCCGGCGTACAGCCGACGGCGGGCGTTCCTCCCGGCGGCTCCGACTGGTGCTGTAGTGTAACGACCTTGTCGGCAGGTGTTGGCGGCTGATGGTAGCAATTGTTGACAGCCTACGCCACTCTTGAAGGCATCGGGCCGGTACACCGTGCAGTTGGTTAGCGTAGAAAGCCAGTGAAAGCGTTTGTGGGCAAGTGGGCAACAACACATGACTGAGGCTATCGTGCTATTGCTGATGTTTGTTAATAGTTGTTTTGCCCACTTGTGGGTGTCGTGTGATATATTTTTGAAGACAACCCGCGTTTTTACCCCACAAACATGAATGACTAACGGTGCTACTTACCCCTCTGTCGACGTTATGATTGCATATTGTTGTGTTGTGCTATGCATAGCGCCTCCATTGTCCGTGTTGCTATCGGCAGCGGTCCTGATAATAATCATCTCATCTCGCATCCTCGGTGTTCGCCTGTTTTTGCGGTGTCCTCGCCATGTCACGCTCCTGCCGGTGAGCGTCGCAGCAGTGGAGCGCCGCGCGGGCCGACGCCGGTGTACGCCGGCGGCGGCGTGCGCGGCTGGCCCCCACCAACATCGGGACCGACAGGACCCGATGCTGCTCAACTGGCGCACAGGCTCCAATTTCTGATGGGTAGCTTTTCCAAGTGGTTTTAGGTCGGCAAATAGGAAACTCGCACAAATGGCTATAGCCATTACGAGAGTGAGTGCTTGGCTGTGGAGTTTCAGTTTGGCGCTGTACGACATACTCGTTCGCTGCCCTCCAGCTGATATTATCGTGTTTGGTCTTCTACTGTAAAAATGACAGAAGCAATACATATCGCAACCGGAACGCCCTGTGTCCTCGTTGAGGGGTCCCAATAACGTTTGAAGTGGCCTTAAACATGCACTTACCTTCCGTGGTGCCAGTCCGTAACCGTATCTGGCGATGACACGGGACTGACAGACTTGCTCAGGTGTCGCTGGGTGGTGGAGTTGGCTAACCTGTCAAGTTTGGAGCTGTCCAGCTTGTTATTTCGCTCCCCTCCCCAGAGCATACCGGTGCCTTCTATTCAGTGGTGGTTTGGAGTCCGCGATCAGTTTACCGGCCGATGCCAAGGTTCTGTCCCAGCCAGTAGAGGTTGGCCTCCGAACAGCTCCTAAAATGGAGATAGCATGAGTTGGAAGAGTAGGACTGAACCCATCAAGGGCATCACTAATGGATGAGGCGTGGAACCGTGCTCCAGGGTGTCGCGGTTGGAAAGCCATTTTCTTCACCTTCCCTCCTGGAGCCTTGTTGTGGGTTCCCAGTTCCAACGACAGCCTTTTTGTTATTGCGTTGGCCCAAACAAATCGCCTCGTCTCACTCCCAGCACGAGTTTGTCTCTTCTCCCGGCGAGCTTGGCCTGCCCTCCCGGGCATCAGATCCTAGCGACGCCCCTGCGACCCCCCGCCCGCTCCACCCACCGTCATACCACTGCCAGTGGTCTTCACATTCAAACTACCGACTTTCGTTTCAAAACCTCTACTCTGGATCCCTAGCAAAGTTGGGCGTGACTCTCGCTAGAGTATGAATCGGTCTGAGGGCCAACCAGTTGAGGTAGGGGAAATCCCCATCCTTTAATACGCGTGCGGGATTCGACGTCGACATTGAGTCAACGGAGTTACGAGGAAGTGTACCCAAACACAAATGTAGGGATGAATTGCCCAAATCTTTGCATGCATATATATATATATATATATATATATATATATATATATATGCATGCATATATGTATATATATATATATATGATATATATGATATATATATATATATATATATATATATATATATATATATATATATATATATATATATATATATATATATATGACTATCCATGTCACTAAGCTGAAGACGTGGAAGTCATTTTACGTCCGTTGAAAGTCCGGTCAAACCCTGTTGCCTGCGCGGGTAACGGGTACACCCTAGCGGGGTTTTATCCAGCCGCGGCAGATTTGGCTTCGTAAGTTATTTTAGTTCTGATGCTAATAGATGCTTCCGTCTCATGCTAATAAGACTTCCGTTCTAATGCTAATAGATCTGTATAGTGGATCCTCGGTTTGTGTTTCTCACATGCGCGGCTCTGAAGCTCGTCATGATTGGGCTGACGGGTTGCCGGCGAACAGTCATCAGTGCGATGAGTAATAACCTAACGGCGGTGCTTTCGGCGTCCTCCATACCCATAGGTACTGTATCATAGTTACTGTCGCGTGTGCTGTGGGCAGTTCTATGATGATGAAAACATCTCCGACTCAATAAGCCAACCAAAATGTGCAGTCTCCGGCGCCACACCACACTCACTATCGCCATCGTTCCCTCCTCACTTCGCATCCCAGGGCCTGGCTCCGCCCGTTCGAAAATCTCTCACTCCAAACGGACGATAGCATTTATTAGCGAGCTTCACGGAATGTATACAATGACAGCGGTGTGACGTGCTAACGTTCGAAATCCCTCACGAAAAAAACAGCGGCGACGTGACCGCGCGGCGGTGGCGCGGGCGCCTCCGCCCGTAACACACGCAGACCGGCAACACGAGATCAGCGAAAGCCGACGCGAGAAACGCGTCTCATGAGACCACCGGTCGGGTCGGGCCTGCCGGCGGCCTGGGTGCGGCTGACGGGCACTACTTGAAGGCGTAGCCCTGCTGCCCGGTGCCGGCCCACGTGCCGACGAAGCGGAGCACATCCGTCAGCTCCACGCTGTTGGTCATCTTGGCCGTCATCACCAGCGAGTTCCAGTCGTCCTTGTTGGCCACCTGGCGGCGGGCGGGCGAACGACGCGTCAGGGGCGCCCGCCAGCAGCGTGACGTCACGGGCTCTGGTCGGTGGCCAATGCTGCAGCGTCAGCTGGGCTGAGATCAGCTCTTGTCCGCACGGAAACCAGCACATTTGTACAATGAAAACCGCGGACTGCCACAAGTCGCATGCTCGTGGACAGTGCACATTGCAGGCACAATGAATCACCAGCACCGGACATTGCGTACAATTCTGTTCAATTTTTTTAGAAAAAAACCTGGCCGAATATCTACCACCCCAGCTATTCCCTTGAGGTGGTTTTCGGTTCAGAACCCACAATAGCCATGGCGTGGCGCGGAGCCCCCTCGAATTTTTTTATCAATAAATCACCGCACGTATCACAAAACGCTGCGAGTATGGCTCGACCTCCCCCGCCTCAGCTTGTCCGTCAGGATCAGTTACCGACTGACCGTCAAAGACGAGTCACACGTGCGCCACATGCGAGTCATACACGGTTCCGGAATGCGGTCTGCGGTTCCGGAATGCGGTACTGACCTGCCGCCATGGGTCAGCGCCGGGTCAGAGTGCCCCGACGCTCCAGTAACTGAGCTGCACGAGCGGCTGGCCAGTGAGGACTGGGCCGACCGTGCTCCGCGGCACCCGCCGCACAGTTCGAACTGGCATGGACGGCGGCTTCGACGCCAGAACGGATGCCAGCCGGTGGACAAGACAGCGAGCTGGCGACGGGAGACGTGAGCGCCCGCTGTCACCCGCCGTCGTCAGCGAGAGCTCGAGCGGGGCCGGAGCGGCAGGCGGCCCCGACACTGGTCCCGACTCGACGGCTAGCACCCCTCACCTTGCCGTACTGGAACTCCATCTTGTTCTTGAGCACCGGGTAGCCGGTGACGACGCACGGCGGCGACTTGCTGCCGTCCGGGTTGAGGAGGCTGGCGGCGTAGCAGCCGCGCTCGTCCTGTGGCAGCTCCTGCGGGCCACACGAGCGCCGGACCGGCGGTCAGTACAGCTCGGCCGCCGCAGCGGCACGCGCGGGACACCACACAGCGGCTTCAGGTTCGCAAGCAGAGCGGGCTTACGGCCCGGTGCGACCGCTAGACCGCGAAGCTGGGTCACACAGTCGGCGCTGCCCAACCGCCCGCCCCAGCTCCGACTCACGGCGCGCTGCAGTCAGCTTTGCCAACGGCGGCGTCATGGGACGGCCCGCGCTCGCCGGTGGTGGACCCGGCCGGGCACCGGGCGCCGCGCGGGGTGGCGCCCGCCGCCGCCGGCCGCCGGCCGGGCCGCTCCTCACCTGCTCCACCGACTGGTCCATGCTGACGGCCAGCACCCACTCCTTGGCGCTCTCGGTGTCGCCCTGCTCGACGTTGGCCTTGGGCGGCAGCGGGATCTCGAACGGCACGTCCGTGTTGGCGAAGTCGCTGTGGTCGATGGTGTCGAGCGAGCCCTCCTCGATGGCCTCGCACAGGTCCAGGAAGTGGTTCCAGCAGACGAACGCCATGTTCTCCCAGCCCACCTTCTGCGCGCCACCGGACAGACACACGTGGGCTCAGATTGGCCGGACTCAAACGGACTTGGCGCAGCACAGACGGGTCTGGTGCAGTGACGGCGACTGACGACACTTTATAATCGAAAGGCTTTTGCTCAGTTACGGCAAGACGCAGTGCAGCAGCCATTTGATGAGTGCAGCGAACATTACATCGCAGACGGGTTAGATTTCAACCTGACGGGTTACGGCAGAACAGACCTGCAGGTCAGGTCCTCATCAGTGATCAGGCCAACGGATGTTGGAATATGTCTGGCATCATGACATCTGCCCACACAAGTATGTACCGTAGCACGCTGCCCACTAGTACCATCACCAAACATAATTTGGGAGTCACTCGCAAGTTTCATATGTTAACAATATACACACAGAAAGGAACCAGGGATCACGACATGACCATCAGCCGAATTCGCTGCACCTCCGCATTCGCCAAGGCATGTGTCACCCACGAGAAGATGCACCTCTGAGCGTACCACGCCACACGAGGCCCCGCGTACGAGCCACCACCCGGCCCGGCACCGGGCTATGTCGGCCACCGCCGCCGGTCCGGCCGCCGCGGTACCGACACCGCGGGCACAGGCGTCGGTCCGGGCCGCTGCAGTACCGACACCGCCGGCACAGGCACCGGTCCGGGCCGCTGCGGTACCGACACCGCCGGCACAGGCGCCCGTCCGGGCCGCTGCAGTACCGACACCGCCGGCACAGGCACCGGTCCGGGCCGCTGCAGTACCGACACCGCCGGCACAGGCACCGGTCCGGGCCGCTGCAGTACCGACAACCCCGCCGGCACGGCGCCGGTCGGGCCGCTGCAGTACCGATACCGACCGCCGGCACAGGCACCGTCCGGGCCGCTGCAGTACCTCCCAACAACCGCCGGCACAGTCACCGGTTCCGGGCCGCTGCATACCGACACACGAAAACCGCCGGCACAAGGCGCCGGTCCGGGCCGCTGCAGTACCGACAACCGCCTGGCACAGGCACCGGTCCGGGCCGCTGCATTACCGCAAAAACCGCCATCACAGGTACCGGTCCGGGCCAGCTGCAGTACCGACAAAGACCCTCCGGCACAGGCACCGGTCCGGGCCGCTTGCAGTACCGACACCCCCGACGCACAGGCACTGGTCCGTGCCGGTGCATACCGACACCGCCGGCACAGGCACCGGTCCGGCCGCTGCGTGCTCCCCGACACCGCCGGCACAGGCCCGGTCCGGGCCGCTGCAGTACCGACACCGCCCCAGGGCACAGCGCCGGTCCGGGCCGATGCATACCAACACCGCGGCACAGCACCGGTCCGGGCCGCTGCACATACGCAACCGCCGGCACAGGCGCCGGTCCGGGCCGCTGCAGTACCGACACCGCCGGGCACAGGCACCGGTCCGGGCCTTGCAGAGACCGCCGGCCAGCGCCTCCGGTCCCGGCCGCTGCAGAACCGACACCGCCGGCGAGCGCCCGGTCCGGGCCGCTGCGTACCGACCCCGCCGCACAGGCGCCGGTCCGGGCGCTGCAGTACCGACACCGCCCCAGGCCGGTCCGGCCGCTAACAGTCCGCAACACCGGTCCGTTCCCACCGCGGACAGGCGCCGGTCCGGCCGCTGGTACGACAAACCGCCCGCCGGACAGGCGCCGGTTCGAACGCTTGCGCCCGTCGCAGCTGCTCCCACCTTAGCGCGGCGACGCCGGCCTCGAAGAAGCCTGTTTGTTGCGGCCCACTCGGGGTAGCGCAGCAGCGCCACTAGATATTGCCTGGCGATCATGGTCAGCTGTGTCGGCGGGCCGTATTGCCGGCCGACCGGGTGGCAGCATGTGGCCACGAACAGCAGTGGTTCTGGAACGCCTCGTTGCACCGCGGAGCCAAAGCCTCGGCCCGGTGGTTCATGTTGCCCACCTGCGGCGCAGGCGGCGCCGGCGTCAGCGTCACCTGTCTCGCTCAGCACGACCGCGCACACTGGGCGCACGGCCGCGGGGGAGTCACTGCACACGTGGACCGCAGGCGGCCATAGTGAGTCCAGGAACGGCACAGCACCTCCCGACCTGTCACCATGACACGGCTGTGGCACCCAACGCGGCCTTCGACGAAGCGAGGTTCGCGTGCCACCGAGATACATCATGTATACGTGTGTCAGCTCAGATGCGCGCTGCCTTACTAGCTGCCCATAATTGCCCGGGCAGAAGCAGCCGAGTTCTAACGTGACAGCGCACGAGCCCAGAGCCCAGACCAATCCGCGGCAGCCTCCGCTGAAAGCTGGCTCCACCAGCGCCACGCAGCCACACATATTATCCAAGATTCACGAACCGCGGGGGGGGGGGTCATCCACAATCCAACGGTGTTCACTGGGCCTTCAGCCGCTGCTGATCGGCGTTCGCAATCACGCGAAGGCACACGACAAACTGAGTCACGAGTGGGCCGTCCAAACCCATCGCTCGCCGAGCCGCGGACGACCGAGCACTAACGCCGGCGCCCACTGCGGCCGCGGCACGGCGCCACTCACCAAGTCAAACAGAAACTCGCGGAGCTCCGACCACACCTTGTAGCTCTCGGCCGTGGCCAGCGCGTGCTGGCCGAACATGCTGACCGTGATGTACTTGTAGATGTTGTAGTTCTGCGGCTGGGCCGGCGCGCCGTTCTTGACGTACAGCTTGAGAGCCTCGACCGGCGAGTTCTCCTGCGGTCACGAGGTGAGCGCAGGTGAAGACGACGAGCGGCCTCACGCGCTCCGAAGACCCCGGCACCCCTGACTCCCCGGCCACGCACGGCCACACCCTGCACCACTGATAGGGTGTGGGCAGCGATGGGCGGAACGTTCGGAACCTACCCTGATATTTCGGTACTCGCTCGGCGTGGAGGACAGACCATGCGACCGTGGCCCAGTGCCGCTGAGCACGAGTCCCACAGCGTGCAGTCAGGCCCTGCTGGCTGTAAGTCAGCTGACAACTGAGCAAAACAGGGCGACCTGGCAAAGGCCCGTCATGCTGTGGTATTGTGTAGCACAAACGGGATCCATCCGCAGGCCTGTTTGATAGAGAAAGCCGGGAGAACATCTTGTTCGATCGGCTGAAACGGCACCGCTCGGAAGGTGAATTCAGGGCATACGCCTCAAACGCGCAACGTATACATCCAGCCGCGTTAGAACATAGGCAGCTCTGAGTCCAACCACTTAACGAACCGCTGGGGATGATATTCTATGTAGGGCAGTTATCTTTACGTCGTTATGCCGCCCGAGCCTGATTTTAAAATCACTGCCGCAAGCCAACACGCACATGACGTCGGTCTGCAGCAGCCAAGAGAGGCGAGTGAATGAGCCAAGAACTCAATGATAGCAGCCGAATGAGACCCTGACAGCAACAGTAGCAGCAACAGCTGCCACGGGGTTGTCGTTGGCCCAGCGGTCGCAGCGTAGGGCGGCAGCACCAGGGGGGGGGGGGGGGGGGGGGGGCAGTCGTCGGGGAGCCGCCGTACCCCTCGGCCGGCTCCTCACCTTGATCAGGTGCGCGGCGTACAGGGCCAGGTACTTGTGCAGCACCTGCGATCCGTGCTCCTTGGCCATCTCGATACACTTCTGCCACTGACCTGGCGGCAGCAGGGGAGGCCGGCGTCAGCGCGCCGCCCGCGCCGCCGCCACCCGACCGACGACAATAGGGCCCCCGCGACCACACTCACGCAGAAAGTCCGCAGCAAAGCGGCGATGCGAACAACGCCACAGTGCAGCCGACGCGTGGTCGTTTTCCAGACACTGTTAACGGTGATGAAAAAACTGCAGGTGCGGGGACGAACTGACAGAGGCATCACGACACGGACGATTCCCGCAACGGCACTGCAACCCGTGCGCCCGTGAGGTCACGTCGATGAGAGAGCATCCCCGCATCTGGTAACTGTTACGCACGTTAAAGAACGCTCATATCACTTGTTTGAAGCCATCACTTCATGGATAACGCCATGACACCGGGCACGCTGATTTTCGTACTAACGCTAACACGTGAAACCTCCAGTGCATGAGCTCCAGCTGAGCCAGCGACGGTGTCCTTGCTCTGGACGACCACCCACTGCTGTCCACCCGCTGTCACGTGTCCAGCAGACACCAATGGCGCTGATCATCGACACCACGTCATAGAGCTTTAGGGGTGACTTCGAAAGCACCCTGCTGGACAACCGCATCCAAGCCACGGGCGACATCAGCGACGGCAACTGGCGGACGTACGCACCCTTCTGGACAAACATGTCCAGACCCTGGATGACGTCCACGCTGGCCAGGGCGTCCGCCTGGCCCTCGTTCTTGAGGAACTCCTTGTACTTCTCCTCCACGGCCTTCAGGAGGCTGCCGGCGGGGACGGGACGCCGTGAGACGAGCGGGCAGGCGCCGCCGCGTCGCGGGTGTCGTCACGGGGGGAGGGGGCCAGCCGGGAATCTAACCTGTCCTCCACCCAGCCTTCAGAGTGGTGACCCCTAACGCCGATGCAGAATCGGAGGTTTTGGGGGGGGGGGGGGGGGGGTAGGAGGACGATGCCTCGAGCGTAGAAGGAGCGAACAATGGTTCCTTTAAGCAGCATGGTGTGCCTGTTCTAGAAAAGTAACATTGAACAACTTTTAGCAATGCAACTCCCTTAAACTGGCGCGTACAGAAGGAAGGACAAAATGTGATAAAAGCGTACGCAGGAAATAGTTGCCCAGTTTGTGTTCCATTTGTTTCCAAGTTAGTCGCACTCCGTCCTTTTTGCCCCAAATGCCACTCGCTCAATCACTGGCGTCACGCATAACATGCTTATCCATGGCGCAGACAGCTCAAGATGCGAAGCGTATGCCGTTACTGAACTAGTCAGGCATTAGCACGTTCCTGATTCTAAAAAAGGAATGCTGCCTAGCGACATACACATCATCATTTTTGTGTTATCATCGCTCATGACGCCACGCTCAAAGACTGCGTTTTGTAGGCGGGCGGCGGTCTCTGCGCAGCTGGTCAGCACGCAGCCTCGACACACACAGGCTGGCGGATACCCCCTCCCCTCCTCGGGGGTCGCATTGGGGACGGCTGGCCGCTGCGTGACCTCCAGACGGCTGACCTGGGGTCCATCTCCTGCGCGATCTTCTTGGCCTTGTCCCACTCGGAGGCCAGCACCAGGGCCTTGATCGCCTCCTTGATGTTGTCCGAGCCGAGGAACACCTGGGCGGCCGCGTTGTTAGCGCCGATCTCCAGCAGACGTTTGCCTGCGGCGGCCGGCAGAGCCGCGTCAGGACCGGGCCGGCGCCACGGCTGCCAACACCGGACAGCGCTCCGGCAGGGCCGCGCTGCCCGGTCAGCCTGCCCGGCCACGCTGTCTGGCCGTGCTGCCCGGCCGCGCTGCCCACTCCTGTGACGGCTCCGGGGCACAGCTCATGCCATTTGGCTTATAACCGATTACTTACTATTAATTCTGCCTGACACAGGGCATGGATTCTAGCAGGGCTTACGGTTGTTATGAGTATGATGTACATTTACTGCAAGTGCTTTCATTAACTGCGTTTCACTGGTCTACTCTTCCCATTATGACTTACAACTAGGATTTTTAAGAAACTGATCAAGAAAATCAGCGATGGAAGGAAACCTCAATGCTCATATCATCTCTCAAAAGGCTGTATGGAGCACATAGTCCCTACAATCTTCGCCACTGTCTTCTATCTTTCGCGTCCATCTCGTATCTATCCTCCGTCTACGGTTGGCAGCAAGAAACCAAGCATGCGTCAGACATAAGTCGCCTGATGTGGCGGCGGCAGCGGCGGCGGCGGCGGCGGCGGCGGCGCGCCTACCAAGCTCGGCGGCCAGCTTCGGCCCCTTGACGGCGCCGAGAAACTTGATGGCCAGCTCGGCGGCGCTGGTCCAGGCCCTCTCCACGATGGCGCGGTCCTGCGTCATGGACGGGTTGATCTGCCGGCCCGGAGGAGTGACGTTAGCCCTGGGGGCGCCAGACGGCGCTGCCGGGCCAGCTGCCCCGGGCGGAGGGCGGGCCGCACCGCCGACCGAGGCCGGCACACGCGCGGCCGCGTCCGCAGGGTCGGGCGGCGCCCTCTCCAGCCGTCCGCCGCCAACTCAGACAGCCATCACTGACTGGAGGTCAGCGCCCCCCCCCCCCCCCCCGACCTGCGGCGACGACGAGGGTGTTCGAGCATCCCCATGATGCAGGCGGCCGCGAGCTAGCACCGAGCTGCGGGCACGCTACAGCACGCTGCTTAAGAGGCAATGCAAGATGAGGTCGGCGCGGACTGTTATGCAATCAGCATTTGCCGTGCGCGTGTGCTGCTGATGCAGGCCATGGCCGGGTTTTGAGAAGAAGAGGAGCGTCATCTGCTAACGCGTCATCCCGGTGGTGTGGTGGTTAGAGCGCAGCTGAGTCCCGCAGCGAGCAGCCGCCGCAGTTGGTTCGGGACCCGGGTCCTGACTCAGCCGCCCGGTTAGCTCTTCAGGCGTCCAGCTTCCTCAGCAAGAGGAGAGAAAACCATCTAACGCGGCCGGCTGCGTCAGGATGCTGCTGGCGCCTGCGACATAAGCAGCACTATTCGGTTAACAGACTGGAACAATATTATACTAAGATTTCGGCACCTCTCGTGGCGGAGGTGTCCCTGTAACACGCCGTGCTGACAGGGACTCCGACCTTAGCGTCAACAGATCTCGCGATGAAACCAATTTTCAGAAGCCGTGTCCGGCACGCCCCTGGTGCGGAGCACTGGAGCAGCCAGGTGGACACTGTCTGGCAGTCAGGGAGACCGCTGACGCCGAAGTCAGTGCCGAGCCTGCTGCGGCGGCATGGCTTGCGTAGCGCCGGAGCGTCGCACCTGAGCCCAGCTATCCGTGGGTTTAACCAGTGGGCCATCCTGTCAAAACCGTGCTCGGACGGTGGACCCCGCGGCACGACGCGCCGCGGGCTTCGCCCTCTGGCTCATCCCTGGTCAGAGTACCGGAGGACCGTGTTGGTGTGCGCGCGCAAACAGGCCCATTCTGCTCGTTTTTCGTGGGCACCGGAGGCAAGGTCAGGAGCAAGCCCCCCCCGCCCCCACCACCGTCAACAAAGCCTAGCATTTTCCCCTCTGTGGCAACAATTTTGCGTTATCCCTTTGGCGTTACATACTACAAATCGATTGGTAATACTTTTTACTCTCTTCCCCGCACACCTACCGCGTTTCCCCACCCTGCCCCATCCCCATGGCTGTTCACGGCACGGGACGCCGAACAGAATTAATGGCTCGTTGTCGGCTATCCGCGGCATATTTCGTGTTCCAGCAGGAAGTGCTGCGTCGAGGGTGTGTGAGCATGAGTGGCGTCGCACGGCCGGGCGCCTACCTTCATGTAGCAGTCGATAGCCTTGGCGACATCGTCCGTCTGCTCCCACTTGGCGGCCTGCTCCAGCAGCAGCTTGACGTCGCCGCTGGCCGTGCTGGTGCCGGTCTGCTTCATCACGTTCTTGTCGTACTCCTCCTGCAGCTCGTCCAGCTTGTGCGGCGCGTACTCGCGGCACACCCGCAGCGCCTCCTGCCACATGTTGGCCTCCTGGCGGCGGCCGGCGGCGGCGCGTCAGTGGGCTGGTGCCGGCTCTCGGACCTCTCCCTCCGCCCCGACACCGGACGGGAGCCGAAGGCCGTCACATCGCCGACCACGCACGACACGGGCGTCCGACAATACCACGCGCGTTGTTTATCGAGAGCGACGCACGACGCGCGCAGAGCTCATTCGCGGCCAGGACATCCGACAGGCGCTGACATCACAGTCGGTCACGCCCGCCGCCCAGTCAGCGCCGTCGCCGCGCGGCGCTCACAACGGACATCACCCGCAGACGGCGGCGGCAGGCACACCGCCGCCGGGCAGCCGTGCGCGGAGGCGCCGCGAGACTAAACACACCAGGGGCCGGCACCGGCGGCCGGCGGCTCGTGCGGCGCGCGGGCCCGCCAGACGGCGCTCACCTTGTAAAGGCCGATGGCCATCTCCGAGCGGCCGGCGCGCAGCAGCAGCGACTCGAACTTGCTGTAGTTCTGCTCCTGGAACGCCTGGCGCGCCTGGCCCACCAGGATGTCGGGCACCGAGTCCGGGTCGTAGTTTTCCGCCACGCGCTGCGCCGCCGGCCACTGCTGGTTGTGCACGTACCTGGCGGCCGGCGGAGGGCGGTCAGCGGACGCCGGACTCAGCTGGCGCCGTCCCCCCCCCCCCCCCCGGGCAGCGGCAGCAGAAGCCCCTCAGCGCCCGAGGCGGCTCGCTGCCACACGCCCAGCAGCCCCGGCCGAGCGCATCGTGTCTGCGCGGTGCGTGATCCGCCCCCACTGCGACGCTCCGGTTCCGTCCGCGGCCCGTCGAAGGTGCACACCTCGCGTCCACGGAAACGCTCGCGGAATGTTAAGCTCACTGGCATTCACAGGGCTGGTGCGAACACACTTGAGGAATGATATTATCTACTGTTTGTCATAGAGTCGCGTGTGAGTTGGCAAAAACCTTCCAGCGCGCTTTAGAACATGTACTAACGAATGTCATGAGCGGAACAAAGGGGTAGGAGCACAGAGAACATCCTCCCATCTCCATACATTTGCCCATTGGGCCCTAAGTGTCCAAGTCCAACGGCCAAGCAATTTACGATCACCTCTCAGTCCAACCTCTCACACAGAGCATTCTCGGGCCACCGACCGGTCCGCCAGACCCAGCTGATCTACACTCGAGAGGCCGCAACACGGCAGTGACCCACGGCCGGCCGGGTCCGGTGTTCACAACAGGGGTGAGCTGGAATTGAAGGCTGGGACTCACATGAGCACAGCCTCACGCGGCTTGCCGGCCCGGATGAAGGCCTCCTCGGCGTCGGGGAACTTGCCGTCGTCCTCCAGCGCCATGGCTTGCTTGTAGTGGATCTCCTGGGTCTTACTCGCCTGGCTCCCCTTAGCCAGCTCGAACGCGAAGTCGAACTGAAGCCGATCGGTCAGCGTCAGGGGCGGCCGTAGGGGCGGCGGGAGGAGGACGGGCCGAAGCCAGCCACGCCCGACCGGCGTCACTCATGTCCGGCCGGCGCCACCCACGTCCGGCCGGCGCCAGCCACGTCCGGCCGACGTCACTCGAGTCTGCCCGGCACCACCCAAGTCCGGCCGGCACCACCCACGTCCGGCCGGCGCCACCCACGTCCGGCCGGCACCACCCACGTCCGGCCGGCGCCAGCCACGTCCGGCCGGCACCACCCACGTCCGGCCGGCGCCACCCACGTCCGGCCGGCACCACCCACGTCCGGCCGGCACCACCCACGCCCGGCCGGCACCACCCACGTCCGGCCGGCACCACCCACGTCCGCCCGGCACCACCCATGTCCGCCCGGCACCTCCCAAGTCCGGCCGGCGCCACCCACGTCCGGCCGGCGCCAGCCACGCCCGGCCGGCACCACCCACGTTCGCCCGGCACCACCCAAGTCCGGCCGGCGCCACCCACGTCCGGCCGGCGCCAGCCCGTGCTCTGGCTAGCAGGACAGCTGTCCCCGACGCGGCCCCGCTTGGACGTCTGCCCCACAGCAGCACTGTGCATCAGCTCCTCCCATGACACGCACATCCCAGTCCAGCTAGGCGGCTGCGGCGCGGGCCCGTCCCCGGCCGCCGCGACGGAGGCGCCGCCCCTCACCTGGAGGCTCTCGCAGGCGTACTCGATGCACTGGTCCAGGTAGCCGAGCTTGCGCAGCAGCTTGACGGCCGACTCGCCGCCCATGGTGCGCGCCCACAGGTACGACACCTGCTTGGCCGCGTTGTTGCCGCCCGAGTTTTTGGCCACCTGGCGGCGCGGCGGCGGCCGGTCAGGGCGGCCGACGGGCGGCAGGCCGCACGCCGCGGACTCCGGCGGCCGCTAACGGACACGGGCCGACTGTGGGAGGCTCGCCTGGGTTCCGAGTCTGGAGAGGGCACACCGCTGGCCGGGGAAGGGGGGGGGGGGGGGTCTCAGAAGACGCACACGAATGTAGCCTGAGAGTCGCCGACACAGCATAACCACCACCGTCGACGGCCGGCAACGGCACGCAGAAGCCGAGAAGTCGCTGCGAGACGATAGTGGTGCCACAGAGCGCGACCGAGCACCCTCCGCGGCCGGCTCCCACCGGCTGGCCGCGCCCCACTCACCCTGAAGGCATCCTCCCAGCTCTCCAGACCCCGCCACATGTTGACCGCCGCCTTCCAGTCGCCGCCGGCCACGTAGTGCTTCTCGGCCTCCTTGTAGTTGTTCTCGTTCTCCAGCTCGCCGCCCAGGTGCACGTGCGTCTGGTTGACCAGCTCCGGATGGTGCTCCGTCACCAGCCGCATCATCTGCGGGCACGACCGCCGTCCGACACGCAGCCTGTCCCGGCCGCCGCCGGTGCTCGGCCACGGCAGCGACGTGGCCGTGGCGGCGACGTCGGCGAACGCAGCGGCGCGAAACACGGTGAGGAGAGTGGGCGAGGCGTCATGAAGAACTCGCGCGTGGCGTAAAGTAACACTACACATCGACAACGCACGCGTCACAGCACTGGTCACAAGCTATGACTGTAAATGTGTCGTGGCTCACAAGATACTGTAGATATGGCTGTAGATGTGTAGATGAGTTGTGACCCGCAGCACCTCTCCCGCGGCGCACCAACGACACGATCTGGCGGGACGTCCCCGCGCCGACGGAACCGGCGCTGCCCTGCGCGGCGCCGCACTCACGTGATCGTACTGCCGCTGCTTCTTGTACATGGTGATGGCCAAGTCGGGCTCCTGCACGGTGATGTAGAGCTTCTCGGCGTCGCGGAACTTGCCCTGCTCCTCCAGCTGGGCCGCCTGCTGGATGTACATGTGGCTCACCTCCTCCGGCTGCATGTACTGGCGCGCGATCGAGTACGCCTTGTCCCACTTGCCTGCCGGGATAAGGCGCACAGGGGCCGCGGCCGTCAGGCGCTGCTGGGGCGCGCAGCGGGTCGGCTCAACGGTCGGTGACGCCTGCTGCGGACGGCGGCGGCAGCGGCGGCATCGTACCGCGCGCGCACCCTTCGCGGTCTACGCAGCCATGGTTCAAGCCGTTTGCTCGCGGGGCGCGCAAACCCGGTCACTGCAGTGTGGACCGTGGACATCACCCGCTGTCCACACTGTCCAATGGACAGGCCCGCTGATGCGTGCTTCCCACGGGCTGTATTGTTTTGCATTGATTAGCATTTCTGCGACTCCGCACCTCTGGCACTGCGTCCACGCACTTCTGCGACTAGAAATACACCCATCGCGATGATTTGGAGAGGTATGGCCAAGGATGGTCGACGGGGCTTCCGTCACCCACGGGCGCCACGCTCAGCTGGTTGTTGGGAGCAGACAAAGTTGCTGGGACCGATGCGCTGATGACTATGCATCCGCCGTCAGAGCGGCGGTCCGGCCGGCCGGCGCCGTCAGGCCGGCCGGCAGCGCCGCCGCCGGCTCGCCCACCTGCGTTGTTGTACATCTCGATGGCCTCCTTGAACATGCCGCCGTCCATGAAGAGCTTCTCGGCGGTGGCGTGGTCGCCGATCTGGGCGAAGTGGCCGCCCAGCTTGAGCAGGTAGGGCGAGATGTCCTGGTCGCCGCCGGCCGCCTGCGACCGAGGCCGCGTGCGGTCAGTGCTCAGTCGGCCCGGCTGTCGGGGGCCGCCGAGAGAGCGGAGCACCGAACGCTGGTGCGCAGGCTGACAGCAGACCGCACGGTGGCAGGACGTGAAGGGCCGGCTGGCAGCCAGCGGGACGCGTCGGATGGTTGCGTCAATCAGAAACAATGGGATGACGTCTCGCCGTGACCCTGGCTCAGAGCTCGCTGAGGATGAAACGCATGTAACAGATTCGCCGCCTATGTTTCAGGACATTCGTGCAAGGATGACGTCACAGTTATCGACTTAAGGTTGTGCTCGTGGAGCGCACCCGCCCATGAGCAAGCAATATTTACGAGGTGCGGACGATTCGAACCTGTTTCTTCTTCTTCTTCTTCTTTTTCTGCACAGCTCCAGGATTTTCGGACATGTACCCCTTCAGGAGCGCAGGAGAAGGATCGTGGAAAAGGAAAACGAGGTGAACACAAACACAAAAACAAACTTCACCATTATGCACGAGAAAACCCCAACACCAACATAGACTATCAATGTAACAGCAGTGATACCATCCCCGGAAACTGCAAAAGACTGAGGCCTGCCTGGCTCGTGTTCCCCTCGCGCCCTGCCCACCTGTACTATCTGCATGGCCTTCTTCCACTGGCGCGCGTGCACAGCCGCGTCCAGCGCCTTAATGGTCTTGCCCGCCTCGATGTAGTGGTTGATGGCGGCGTCCAGCTCGCGCTTGGAGACCAGGTGGTCGCCCCACTCCTCCTCCAGCTGCACCACCACTGCCGACAGACGTACACCGGCCAGTCCCGAGCGCTGGCACCCGCCCCGCGGCCGCGTCCGCCCCAGACGCGCGGACCACCCCGACAACAGTCACCAGGCCGGGGCCGGCGGCGTGCGGGGCCGGCGGCGACCCGGGCCGCGGCCGGCGACCCACCTGCGGGGAAGTTGGAGCGGGCAAGCGCCACGCAGCGCGAGTAGGCGTTGCCCTTGCGGTAGCAGTCGAGCGCCGGCTCCAGCTCGTTGACGCGCTCGTACATCTCGCCGGCCTTCTCGAACAGCTCGGCCGTGATGAGCGCCTGCGCGATGCCGTTGATGAGGCCCACGTTGTTGGCCAGGTCGGGCGTGTTGAGCGTCACCCTGGGGGCCGGAGCGGGCGCGCTCAGCGGCCGGCGGCAGATGGAGCCGCCGCAGCAGGCGCGGCGGGGGCAGACAGAGCCGAGCGCACCGCCGCAGGCCGGCCCCCTCCGCGTGCCGCCAGCGGGGCGTCCGCGGACAGACCACGCGCTGCTCTCCCGTCCGTGGCAGCGGATGCGCCGGCGGGCGACGGTCGGCGTGCGTCACACCCCGCCCGCCCGTCTGATACGCGCCGGCCCCATCCCCTGGCAGATCTGGCCTGAGACGCCACTCCGGCGGGCGCCGGACAGTGCAGTGAGCGTGAGAGCAGCGACCCCTGACGGTACCCCACCTGGCGGCCTTGGCCGGCAGGCCGCTGCGCAGGTACAGCTGCACGGCGTGCAGGTAGTCGCCTTCCTGCTCCTTGAGTTCGCCGGCCTTCTCCTCCTGCCGGGTGGTCATCAGCCACTGGTGGTAGTTGGCGCGCAGCTGCGGCAGGTCCGGGTGCCGCCGCGTCTCGGCCACGTTCAGCGCTGCGGGACGGCGCGCCGTCAGAGGAGTGGCGTCCGCGACGGGCGGCGCTGCACACCGACACGCCGCCGGCCGCCAGCGCGGCTGAGGCGCCCCCCACCAGGTCAGGTCATGTGACAGGGCTTGGATGCCAAGGCTCCTACTGGTCTACCAACCAAAGCCCGTCGTTAGACATCGTGTTTAGTCAGTGGCCTCGTTCCATCAGACTTGAGAAGACCGCTTACATCTACGCACACACAGGCCACTGACCACCCGTCCACGCACCTTCCTCCCACTTGTTCATGTTCTGGTACATGCGGATGACGCTGTCCACCTGGTTGTTGTCCAGGTAGATGGCCTCGGCGTCCTTGAACTGTCGGTTGAAGACGGCCATGCGCGCCTTCACCTCGTAAAAGTCCATTCCGTCACCATGACCTGCACAAGGAGTCATGATCAAGGCACGACCACCTCACTGTCAAAGTCGCATGGCATACCAACATCTATGACAGTAAGGAACGACGGCAATCATCCCAGCGCCATTAAAAACAACAAAACAGACAGAACAGTGTCTGCCGCATCAGCTGACTCAAACGATCCATCTTGGCCCGCGGTTGTTCACGGTAGCGGAGGAGGTCCTCTTACAAGCGAGAGAAAGCCAATAACAGCAAGACTGGTGGTCTCCACGACACGGCGCCGCCATGCGTCCCACTGCGGCGACTCACACGGGGCGACGACGGACGCACCGTTGCGTCCATGGCCTTCGCTAATAACTGTTGTCATTATCGCGCAAAAACGCAGCGGTTCAGCTACGAGATTCGGCAGGTTGCTATTTGGCTGCTTGATCTAGCACCGCACACGAAATGCTCGTCACAGAGCTCATGCAGCGGCGGTATACTGGGGCGACCCTGAGTCTGTCGGGCGAGGCGCACTGGACGGCCGGCCCAATGCCAGAGACGGGCGCCCCGCTGTGCGGCCCTCACCGAGCTTCTGCGCCACCTGCTCGGCCAGCATGATGATCTCCCGTAGGTACTTGGCCTTGGAGACGTCCCCGAGCGCGGCGAAACATCGCTCGGCTGGCGGTGCCGGCGGCCGTGTTAGTGGAGCTCGACAGGCGGCAGAGGAGGCGGCCCGTTCACAGCCGGCACCGGCGCGCGGTCTACAAGTGGCAGTACCGGCGCAGCGCGGAGCGACACACCAGACAGCTCGGTGGCGGACGAACACCAATGATGTTGAGCCTTCCGACTACATCAGGTATGACATGGGAAGAAGCCACGGCAACACGCGCCAGCGTTCAGTGAGCCGTCTTCCGAGGAAAGAGCGGCGCTGGGCTGGCATATTGCAGGGCCTCTCCGGTAGCAGCCCCGGGAGGTTACAACAACCACGGTACACAACAGCCAACAAAACTCTGCAGAACAAGTGGTGCTTGCCAAGCAAACACAGCGAGCACGTATGGCTGCTTCGCGACCAACTCACGGCATCCCAGCATCCGAACCATCACCGCACCGGGGTCGTGCTATGTGGGCGGCGCGTCCGACAGTACGGCGACCTCAGGCCGGCTGGCGGGCGCCGGGAACCGCGCGGCGGCGCGGCCCGGCGCCAGAACCGACCTATGTGCAGCTGCTCGCTCTCAACGGCCAGCCGGCCGAGGGTGCGCCACATGGCCTCGGCCTCGGGCGTCAGCTCCAGCGACTCGAGGAAGTTCATGGCGCGCAGCAGGTCGCCGTCGTCGATGGCTGTCCCGAACTCGATCAGGCCCTCGTCCAGCGTGTACGAGTACTCCTGGCGGCTGTCCTGCACGATCACCTGCGGGGCGGCGCGCGCGACGGCGTCACGGGACGGGCGGCGCTGGACGACGCCAGGATATCTGCGTACAGGTCCCCGCTCGCTCTGACCAGAGCGCGGTACGAGCTGCCGCTCGAGGGGATTGTCCGAGCGGGAAGGTCGCAGCAGCCCGGCCCCCGCGGTCGTCCCGGCCTCAGCTCTAGATCTGGGTTCAGAACGGGTGCCGCGGCGCCCGGCGCGGGACGGCCGACCACTCGCCTCGGTCTTGTTGTCGCTGCGGTCGATGTCGATGATGTCGCCCTTGATGGGGAACATGGTGACCCTCTCCGGGGCGTCGATGTTGTACCAGATGCAGAGGTTGGACTGGCTCTGCGCCACCACCACGTCGCTGCCGGGCACCCACTGCGGACGGCGGCCGGCGGGTCAGCGCGGCCTGGGGTGAGCAGCCACGGGCGCCTTCATCATGACAACGGCCAACATCACCCAGTCAGCGCCACGTGCCGGCAGCGCGCCACTCCGCTGACACTCTCGCCGGCTGATCCTCGGCACCACACGCATGGTCCGGCCCCCCGCCCCCCCCCCCCCCCGCGAATGCGTCACATTCCGAATAAGTGGTGCCGCACCTCGGACAAGCCGCAGTCGCGCCAGGACACATGCGTGCGCCCGCCGCATCACATCACGCCTCCGTGGCGTGCGCTCACCGCGCCTGCGTCACATACCGCCGCGTGCCTGGGACGGCACACTCGCCTGGACGAACGTGCAGTAGTTGAGGATGACCGTGTTGGTCTTGGTCTCGATGTCGACCAGTTGCAGCCGCTGCCGCTTGTCGCGGAAGAGCAGCTTGTGGCCGGTCTCGTTCAGCTCCAGCCAGTCGATCTTGGTGTCGTGTGACACCACGCCCAGGTTGACGCCGTACACCAGGTCGACTGCGGATGGTGACGACTCAGGCGCGCGCCGGCGCGCTCCGCCTCACAGAACGCGTACAGAGGCGGGCGGAGCCGACACGGCACGGGACGAGCGAGTGGATATCCGCAACTCTCCACTTCTCTGCCACCAGGCGGCTGCTGCACGCAAGTGCCGTACAGGACTCCCTACAGATATCCGGGGCAGAAAAGGCTGTACGGGCGGGGTTCTAAAACCTGATTGGCGGACTGACCAGGGGCGGCCTCGGAACGGGGAAAGTGTGTGTGTGGGGGGGGGGGGGGGGAGGGGCCTTCTCGTTGTGACTTGTGACTGCCTCGCGTCCCGCGGGCCACCCCGGGCCCCACTCACTGATGGTGATGGTCTTCAGGTCCACCAGGTAGGCCATCTTCTTGTTGTCCTCGACACCCTTCTGACTGCGCTCGTTGATGCGGACGCTGATCAAGTGCGGGTTCATGAACTCGGTCCTGGCGGCGGTCGTGGACCGGTCACGCGCCGACCCGGGCCAGGTCACGCACAGGTCACACACACACACACACACACACACACACACACACACACACACACACACACACACACACACACACACACACACGCACACGCACACGCACACGCACACCCACACCACACACCCACACCCACACCCTCATCCACACACCCACACCCACACCCACACCCACACCCACACGCACCCACACACACCCACACGCACGCACACACCCACACACACACCCACACACGCACACACCTACACGCGCACACACACAGGCATACGTACACGCATACGCACACCCACACACGCACGCGCACGCGCACACGCTCACACCCACACACACCTATGCATCCACCCACACCCACACCCATACCCACACCCACACCCGCACCCACACCCACACAGCTATCACCACAGCTCGATGAGTAAACAGCTGAGGTCGCCGCCCAACGCGACCCATTATTGGTGCCGGATGTCACAGCTCAGCAAGGAACCGGCTGGCGATATCTACGTCAAATTGGCAACGTGGGACACCTAAATACACCTGGATACGGAAAGTCGTCCACAGGCAGAGTATGGGTGTTCAATCAAACGCACCTACGCAAAGGGCCCTTGTTATGACCGCGCCCAGACAGCTACCTGCCGTCGCCGGGACCAACTCGTCCCTAACCGTAACCAATCCGTCACCAACCATGACCAATCCGCCTCCGACCATGACTAATCCGTCCCTGTGACCAATCCATCTTTGATCGTGACCAATCCGTCCCTTACCGTGACAAATCTGTTCCTTATTGTAACCAATCCATCCCTGACCGTGGCCAATCCATCCCTGAGCACGTCACCACGTCAAGTTCCCCTCATACGGATTCCCTAGAACGCTCACCTGACGGAGCCCAGCAGCTCGTTGTTGCCGTACTCGATGATGCTCAGCTCGCCGGCGTTGAAGATCATGCAGCAGTTGGCATTCTCGAAGAAGAACTTCTCGTTGCCGCTGGTGTCCATCCAGGGCACCTCGGAGAGCAGGTTGCGCGAGAGGTCGCCCACCAGCAGCGTCTCGGTGGTGCGCGCCACCAGGTACCGCTCCTTACCTGCGAGGGAGGACGAGTCACGAGACGGCCGACGGAGGCGCCGCACCGACGCCTGTACGCACAACGACGCGCGACACGGCGACGCGCCACACCACGGACCACCGCCGCCGACCCCCAGCCCGCGGCAGAAGGGAGCCCGCCGGCACGCCGCCGCACGGGGCGCCGGACTCGGCCGGGCGGCGCGGCGCGGCGCGGCGCGGCCCGGGCTTGGGGCACTCGCCGCCGGCGCCGAAGACGCGCGCGCCGCCCGCCAGCCAACGCACCCATGAACTTGACGTCCTCGATCTCGTAGCCGTACTGGGACTTGAGGATGACGCCGCGACCGCCGCCCTTGAGCGGCTTGATGAGCACCTGGGACGGGCCGACGTACGTCATCTCCCACCGGTCGTTCCACACGGCGCGCCTGCGGACCGGCGCAGGGTCACTCACAAGCCGGCACCGGTGAGCATCGGAACGAAATCAGGACGCCTGGCTGCTCCCCGAGTGTGCTTGCTTTCTAAAGGAGAAATCGCACAGTGTCAAGGGGACGGCAGCAGCACGGACCCAGGTACACCGACGTCAGTGACAAGCACGGAGCCAAGCACACCGGCGTCAGTGACAAGCACGGAGCCAAGCACACCAGCGTCAGTGACAAGCACGGAGCCACGCACACCGACGTCAGTGACAGGCACGGAGCCAAGCACACCGACGTCAGTGACAAGCACGGAGCCAAGCACACCGACGTCGGTGGTAAGCACGGAGCCAAGCACGCCGACGTCAATGACAAGCACGGAGCCAAACACGCCGACGTCAGTGACGAGCCGCAGCCGTGGTACGTGGCCTGAGGCCTGTTACCGGCTCGCAAAATGTACGCAGGTATTCTACTTCGTGAGTGCCAGAATACCGCCCTGCCGTGGCTTGGTCTGCATTTCGCCCAGGAGAGGGCCAAATCGGGGCAAAGGGGCTCTCTTTCAAACAAAGGGCTCTCTTCGTTGCTATTGAGGCCTCGTTTTGGAAACTTTTTAGGCTCAGCGTACCGTTTTAACGCCTACAGGGCCCGTCTTTCACGCAAGGGGTTTCTTAAACCGACGGAAATTGCCGAGTCCTCCGGTCCGCAGGGTCAACCTGCCCCTTGAGGGGGGGGGGCATGACCCAAAAGCCCCCCTCCCTTAGCTACGTCACTGCCACCATGAGACGCCTTAAGATAAGTTTTTGAGGATGCTGCTCTGCAAAACGTGCTTTAAAAGGAACGGTTCCCAGGAACGCCATATCATGCAGGTGAGATCTACACCCGGGCCACCTCAACAGAGCACTACGCGCTGTTTATCTTTTTCCACCGGAAGTGGCGGAGCTCATGATTTGTCATTTGGCCGCATGGCAGTGGCGGGGCCCCTGTCATTTCTGGACGCCTTACCCAAACATCATGTAGCGAGCCCTGCCAGGTGGACATGCTTTAGCCCGCTGCCAGAGCTGGCCGGTTGTTTGCTTTGGACCTTCTTCCATTGGGGTCGGCTCGAACAACGCCAGCTTGCCCGCTCGCTCCTGGCGCGACGCAAATCTTACGAGCTTGTGGTCGTGAGCAAACTAGAAACCGCTGGGAGAGACTGCCGCCAATGAAAGGCCTTACCAATCGGTTTGTGATTATAGTGCCCGGCACCGACTCGTCCTACGCTAAGGTGGGCGGGGTAACTTTCGCTTGAATATAGCAGCATGTTCAACCAGCGATGTTGCTGGGCTGCTTTAAATCAAACTACGAAACTCATGACATCGGTGGAACCAAAATGTGTAGCGTTCTGATGGAACGAAGATTACACTTTGGGTTCATCGCCTACTGAAATCGGGTGGATCCAGTTATATCTGCGATTGGCCTAGCACGGACCTTGCTAGGATCCGAAGGCGGAGGTCGCAAACGCGGATCTCACAATCGGCATGAGATGAATCACCTCCAAACGTGCGCATGGATTCGAAATCAGCAGCCGAAGACGGAGCCCCTTACAATGATCATAACTTGCGCCGTAGTGTCCACAAGCCGCCGGGTGGCACCCAACCAGGCCAAATCCGCGCTCAAGTCGACGCTAGATTGACCCGCCGTGCATTGGTGCGCTGCGGCACAGCGTTCCCCTGCGCGGCGAACGCCGGCCTTTCTGCGGTAATGGCGCCAACTGCCGCCGCCCTGAGAACACTCCGAGGGCGCCGTACCGTAGCGGGCCGCGCCACCTCTCGGTCGTCACGGCAGTCACGTCGCGGCGTAACGCCAAGACAAACACGGATCGCCCGGGCCTCCACCACCAACACTGCATGTCGGCGCGAGTCAAAACCGGCCAGCCTGGCATAAAATGCAGCTGTCCGTGCGACGGGCCCCACCACCGATGCCAGCGCGGGGGGATGGGGGGGGGGGGGAGGGGGCGCCCGGGCAGCGACGTGACTGACTTGAGCGCCGAGTCGAAGAGCTCGACGGAGCCGCACAGGCTGCCGCAGACGACGCGGGAGCCGTCCCGCTTCCACGTCAGGCTGGTGACCGTGTACAGGTTCTTGATTTCCTTCACCTTGGACTCCTCCCAGAGGTTGCGCCGCGGGCTCCAGTCGAAGACGCGCAGCCTGCCGACAGCGCACGCAGGCGTCAGGGCGCGCCGCCCGGCCGACGCGCCGACACCCACGGCCGGCCGGGCTGAGCAACAGCCGACTCGCCTCGTGCAAAACCGATTCTGAGCTCTGACCAGCAGTCAACGACACACCCACTCTCCACTTCATCCAGCTGATGCGCACGCCTCGACGGAACACGCGGTGTGCTGACGTCACACCCTGCAGGGGCGTGCCGACCGTTGGCCGGGAGCGGGAGGCCGGCCCGTCAGCAGCGTACCGCCAGCCGGCCGTCGAGCCTCTCACCGGTCAAAGCTGCCCACCACCACGCTCTGGCCGCTGGGACTACACACGGTGGTCGTCAGCTCCTTCTCCGTGTCGTCCCGGGCGTAGTCGAACTGCTGCCCCAGGCGACCCTCCTGCCGGGCAGCCGGGCGATCAGCAGGCTCAGCCGCCGGACTGGGGCCCCGTATGGTCAGGGCCGCCCTCCTGACGCCTGTCTCCTGTCCTGTCCGGTGCGGTCACTGCTCCTGATCAGAATCCAGCATGGGCAAGGTGTTGGCCTCCAGACGCAATACGCTTAAGCCATATGAAAACAGCTCCGACGCTCTGACACCGAGTTGACGCTGGTTACCGTGCCGTTGTCACTGACGTGTAGCTTCTGAAATACGTGACCGGTCGTCTCCCGACAGCCACCCGAACATCACCGTCGTTCAGCGCGCCAACCCGGCAACGGGCGGAGCTCAGCTCCATCTGTGGCCGAAGCCACATGTGGCCATAGACACATGTGGCCATAGACACATTGTCTGGCTATGTCCGGGACCGCTGGATCACCAATCATTGTATGACCATCGTATGATCGAGTATCTCACGAACGTGCCGATGATGCGAGCAGCGACGCGCTTCCGGCGCCTGCAGCCTACCTTCGTGTAGAAGATGAACTTGCGGTCGCAGCCGCCGATGCCGATGTGGTTGTTGGCCCAGCAGAGCGCGTAGGGCGGCACGTTGTGCGTCAGAATCTTACCCTGCACGCACGGTCAGCCCCGTGAACCGACAGACAGAGAGAGGGGCGGCGACGGGCAGCCGGCGGCAAGGGCGACCGCAGCAGCATGAACCGCACAGAACCAGCCAGAATCAGTCACAGACGCCCATAGCCCAGCCCTCATACCGTGCGCCATATTGGGCGGGGGGAACGGGCTGAACAGGGATCAGGGACACATGCCCTGGCCGGGAGTGTTGCTCAGCTGATCGGTCGGCGGTGCGGCGGTCGGCCGGGGCTCCATCCGCACCCTAGGACCGCAGCGGGCGCCGCCCCGTCGGCCGCGGCTCCGTCCGCACCCTGGGACCGGAGCGGGCGCCGCCCCGTCGGCCGCGGCCCCGTCCGCACCCTGGGACCGGAGCTGGCGCCGCCCCGTCGGCCGCGGCCCCGTCCGCACCCTGGGACCGGAGCTGGCGCCGCCCCGTCGGCCGCGGCTCCGTCCGCACCCTGAGACCGGAGCTGGCGCCGCCCCGTCGGCCGCGGCTCCGTCCGCACCCTGAGACCGGAGCTGGCGCCGCCCCGTCGGCCGCGGCTCCGGCTCACCTGCGGCAGCTGCTCATCGTCCTTGGACACGTAGAAGCGTACCACGGCGCCGTCGGCGTGGCCCGAGAGGAATGCCGTGCCGCTGGAGCTGCGGTGCAGGAGCGCACTCAGCGACGGCGCCGAACGGGGGACAATCAGCCGCCACTCGGTCCCACAACACAGACAACGCAACACTTACAACACAATACGACGTGCTCGGAATCAACGCCATGGGAGGAGTGCAGATCAGTACTCGTCCTTGCCTTGGAGACTAGCTTCCAACACGTCATTTCAGACTGGTGCTTGTCTTGCCTTACTTGTTCACAGACCACTGCGGGTAAACCATGATTGCCGTTCCCACAGCAAGGCCAAGCGAATTCCACAAACCCGTACCTAAACCGCACGTGCGTCCCGTCGCCACAGCGCGCGACGAGCATGACGCCGACAGGCCGGCGGCCGCCCGTCACCAGCCCACTCACTTGGGCGCCAGCGAGACGACGTACGACTCGGTCTGGTAGAGCGTCTGCGACTTGTTGGACTTGACGTTGGCGCCGCGCACCTTGCCGTCCGCCAGGCCAAACACGATCGGCCCCTCCAGCGGCCACACCAGGCACGTGACGGCCGCCGTCTGCACGAACTTGTTGCAGATCACCTTCTTCTCGCCCCTGCGGCGGCGCGGCGCGCGGTCAGGCGCAACGGCGCGAGCGGCGAGGACGCGGCGCGCGCAGGCCGCCTGGACCGCCCGCCGCTGCGGTGGCCGAACGGGTGGGAGGAGCAACACGTGCCCCAGAGCAGCGCCGCAGCCGGCTCGCTGCTGAAGCGCGAGCCGGCTGTGCGTCACTGGACCGCGGTGCACCGGTGCCTCGCGGTCCAGTGACCGACGCATGCTGCAGTGTTATGCAGGGCTGCTACAGCCAGCCAACCATGCAACACAGAACTGGTTAATAGACGGCATGATAAGTCGCTACGATATGTTAGCCATTAATAGCACATGTCGCAATAATCCAATCTGTTCCTTTAGAAGCAGTTGACAAGTTTTTGATACACAACATGAGATTCTAGCTGACACGCCTCAAAAATGCAGTTATGCCGGTGTTTAAGTGAATACTTCGCCCTAGTGATTATCCAGCACCCTAAAATCATGACTGATCCTAATGCACCGGTGTTTGCCCCACCGTTTGGTTTTGGCAGAGTAGGAAATGGCGAAATTTGGACGACAAAGAACAGTTGAATGGCATCTAACTCACATTCAATACAGCGTTACAGGTCACTCGCTGAGCATGGTGACGCAACAAGTGTAATTTGTGTCCGTGTTCAGGTACAGTTCGTGGGATTTACGGATCCGTGGCTACAAAAAGGCGCGTGTGGGTCTGTTTTGTTGATTCAAGTGAACAACATACCATGTGCTACGTTTGCTATGCCGGCAAGGGCTGTGTGGAGATCAAGGGAGTGGTTGCCAGTTGCATGTCAGCTTGGATTGACACAGCGCCGAGTGCAGACCACGAGATTGGGTTACCCCTGGATCTGGCCTACACAAAATTTCCAAAGAACCGCATTCATCTTGAGGGAAAAGTCACGATACTTGACAGGGTGGACATCTGAAGTGGGAGCCTGGAGAGGTCTGGGCCAATGAACGTGCTACTAAGCAGGTGCCGTCGGGCGCCCTACCAGTCCTCGCCGATCTTGTAGACGAAGATGATGTTGTCCGACTGGCCGATGGCCAATTTGGTGCTATCCGGAGAGAAGGCCAGGCCCTTCACCACGTAGCTCTTTTTCCCGTACTGCAATACAAAATGTCACTCTGCGAGGGGCCTGCCTTCGACCGAACGACCGCACTGCGCCGGCTGCCTCCGGTCTGGACCTGCGTCCACCCCAGCGGCCACGTCGTGACGTCAGGCACCGTTTATACGTATCAGCTGTGGTGTTTTACACCAGCGGGGGGTGGGGGGGGGGGGGGGGGGGCACGACCGCCAGTGTGCCGCGTGGCAAACATTACAGGCAGTTATGGGGTAAGCATTCATGACACTTCCATTGAAGGAAGAGGCAAACCCCTGTCCTCTGACAGCGGTACCTATCACACGGCCCGGCTTGTTAAGCTGCGTCACTGCCAGCTCGACCCATGACGCCATGCCCCTGAGCGGACGGATGCGAGACATCTTCGTGTGATCGTCTGCGCGCTGTTCGGAATTACTTTAGCGTCGATCGGCTTGGTCGAGAACTTGTCCTTCTTGTCTCCGTTCTCGTCGAACATGATGACGACCCGGTCGGAGGTACACACGGCCAGCTTCACGTTGTTGTGCGACCACGTCATGGCCGTGATCTTCGCAGCGCCGTCCTGAGCAATACGTTTCAGAATTACGTTGGTTCGGATCGGCATCTTCTTGAACAGAACAGCTGGGAATTCAACGTCTCTACTACAAGCAAACGGCCAAATTTACTCGCAAAGCACGCGGCGCCCTTCCTTGCTTCGATGCGCTAAGTATGCATGGGTCGGAAACAGAGGTGAAGAGAATGCCAGGTTTCTTACGAGACGGAGAAACATTCTACAATGCCATTCTTCTACTATAAGAGCTTTTTCGCCATCATATTTCTGACGCTCGCAAGCAACGTCCTGTTTCGCCAAAGCAAAAGCACATGAGGAGGGTTCTCTACGGGGCCTGGCCGCATCTCCCGCCGTTCCGTAACAAAAACCAGGCTGCACATGGAAGCGCCTTTGCACACCGCCTTTTCTGTACGCAGACAGACACCTAGATACAAAGGTCGATTCATATGTGTGTTATATTGCCGATCCGCAAGCATGGGTAGATTGTTGAGGCGTGAAAGATGTTGCGGTGGCGACACTGACTGTTGACCAACAGTAAGACGCCTTTTGAGGCATGGGCCGAACAGCGTGATGACAGACGTGGCTTGACACTTTTTCTTAACACGTTAGGGGGGCTGGATCACCCCCCTAACTAAATAGAAAACCACACCCCTGATGGCTTATAAGGCAAAACAGATCGATGGGTGAATGCCTCGAAATGATGTCGAGAAGCTTTAGACCAAAAACTTGTCTGGAGTAGTAAATCACACCGTACAGAAGGCCGCGGGAGCCCTGCAACCTCACTTCATCTCTTCCCTGCAGCGGCGACATTTGGCTAAACCCTTTCAAAAATTATTATGAACTCCAGCAAAAGTTTAGACATTTCCATGCCTGTCTTTCGATACGACGCAAGTCCATCGGAAAAATATAATGATTTGCCCAAGCCTGCCTAACGTCGGAATGCGGGAAGTGGCACCAGCGTATTCGGCAGTCCCACACCCCCGAAAATCTGTGCCAACCATGTAAACAGGATACAGCAGGACTGCACGTAAATTTCACGAAGGCAACGAGACAAGTGACAACGGGCAACGAGACTGGGCAACGAAAGCAAAAAACCGATGAAAACCGAGTTTAGGACACCGCAGGCATACGCACTTTTTGCGTCGTTCAAGTCGCTGTTCTCAGTCATCTTACTTTGATCGGCTAACCTGGATATGGTAACGGTCGACATTTGGTCCCGTGGATACTAATGCATGCCATACATTCGGTGAGCTAAGGGCACGTGCCCCTACCATGTATCATGTGCCACCATACGCTTACACCACTGGGCCGATAGAGCTCCCTTAGATAGGGGTCAACCCAGCATAACGATATTATATATCCAGCAGGACGATAGACGTTATACCACAACGGAGGCCATTCAGAAATGCTCCACAAATGGGCATACCTGAGCAGGCAGGATAGTTTTAAGATGCTTCAAGATCATGTTGGGCACCAGAGACAACCTCCAAATGCCACAATCCGGGCGTCCACGCGCCCAACAACACTAGAATACTTTAATCTCAGATCCCCTTCTGCTGGTATTTGGCGGGCCTGTATTGTTTACAGTCAGGAATGCTGGCTCCGGAATAAAGCGGTAGATGAAAGTGGCCTTCTGATTGGTGCATTTTCGGTAGCATTTCTACTGGAACTATATCTACGGTACATTTTGATTACGTAAGTGACATGAGCCTTTCATCGAATTTTCTATTTTTCAACAGCTTGGACCGCTCGATATTCTATACGATAAATTGGTTTGACTTATTTTGGAATATCTGATCATTATATCGATAATAATCAAGAGATTCTGATAGATATCCCGCTTGTTTTTCTCTGACCTTTGTGCCATCTCTTCTGAGCGCACACGATTCTCGACCTTCAGGCACCAATATTGTGTTCGTTCTGCGTTGTTTTGGAAGCGTCCAAGTGCCGTGTACACGGCCTTGGGCGATTTAGGTGTTGTTTGTCTCGTGAGATCGCGGAGGACGTGCTCGATTGGGAGCCAGGAGCGCAAACTGCATTTTTTTGGTAGGGAAGTTGGTGGGTGAGTGATAGCTGGGCATGTTAGCCACATCGCACAGTGCCAGGGCATTCCGCTGTGTTAGGGAAGCATGTATGTCTGACACATAGGAAGGTCAGGCTGCAAAAATGCATGTGGCGGTGAACATGTCCGGTGTGGTAACGACACCTTGGCAAGAATGCCAGCGCGTGTACGCCATTGCTCGGAGCATTCAGAGTTTGGCGCATGGTTAATGTCAGTTTCAGCTCATGGAGGGCAAATGTTTCTGGAAATTATTATTTCAGTGCGATTCCAGCAAAACATTCAGTGTTGTACTCAACTCAGTGCTCACATTTTTCAGATATGGATGAATTAAAAATTTAGCACATTTTTGCCTGACCTGAGTTCAGTGCACACAAATGCTGTTACATGGGCATCTGGTACAGTACACACTCAAAGGATAGTTTGAAGGCAGGTACCTTCCCTTCCTAGGCAATGGGAAGCTACAAGCACATCTTAGAAAAAGGTCCTTGGCTCATGAGACCCTTTGTGCTTGAGGGTGACATGCCTTCAGGTTATGTGTTTTATATTACCATCCCCATGGACTGGGGGCTATGCTCAGGCATGAGGTCATTAAGTGCTCCAGAACCTTTGAATTAGTTTTGTCAGTCCCTGGAACTCTTTCATCCTGTTAAGGCCCTACAACTTATTCTTGCGAGGAATAACTGGCTTCGTGATGACTCCCTTGGTCAATTCTGAGATTGTAATTTTCAATGTTTTGAAATCCAGAAAAACCTCATTTTACCTTAATGAGATTGCTATTTTTCTTTCCCAATCCATTGTAGTACTTGGACTGTCATGCATGTGATACTTACCTGCATCCTAGTTCTGCCTGAGTTTATGGTACTCTGTTATTGCTTGTGTATGGAGGAATAATTCTGCTAAGAAAGATGCCATAGAAATCAGAGCAGGGCATAACAGTTTTATGTATAACATATATAACAATGAAGAGATGGCAATGAAGAATTGTTATCTTGTTTCATTGGCTTTTTGAGTTCAGGTGTATGTTATCTTATATTCCAATATGCATTTTCATATGTATCATCAACTAAAGATAATCACTCAATATGTAGCCCCTGAATTACCAGTGCTGGAACTTGGCCATTCCTGACTGACTGAAAATTAAAGGAATATGACCATGATTTTACCTTCTCAGCATATTGCTACTGAACTAAAGTTTAGAAAGGATTACACTTAGGCTTGACAATTAGGCAATTAGGCTGGGCAATTGTTAGATCAAGAATTGGAGGGATGCAGCATCTATGGTTCCTTCTTCTATTGAAGTTCAGCTGCTGAGTAACTGGTAACTGCTGAGTACTCAAGGTATAACAGCTGAGTACTCAGGTAAAATATTTACACCTGCCATTCGTGTACATCTTGTGTATTACAAGCTTAAAAGTTCAGTACTTAAAAATGCTGATGAAAAATCAGTTGTAAAATCCTACCTTCTTCTTCTTTCTTTTCATATAAGCTCAGCCATGCCTCCTTCTTCCTTGACTTAGGGTAGGAGCAACCATGCCTTCTTTTTTTGACTTAGTGTAAGCTCATCCATGCACCAGTCTCCATGATTACAAAGGACTTCACACACTGCTTAGACCATCACAGGTAGCCACAGATGATTGTGTTATTCAACCAGCTGGCTCCTTGTTAAAAGGGATACACCAGGTGCTGGACAGCTGTAAGTAGTGTGGCATGGTATATAAAAATGTGACCAAGCAAATAACTCATCTGTATCCCATTATCAGATACAGCTAGAGGTTAGAGACAAAAATGCCAGTTCAATTTGAGTCATGGTATATGAAAGTTTGCCTTAGGGTACAGGCCAATAGGTCTGCACAGTGTTTGTTCTGATACCAATGTCACACATACAAACCAGTTGTAAAATATGTATGAAAAGTGGGTGGAACACTAATTTCCAGGTGCCTGTCACTTAAAACAGGTTTCTAAACTTAACTGTAGGTCAAAAGGTGGTCAGCATAACACATGCTTGGTTGGAGGGCTGAATGTTTTTCCAGAATGGTTTCCAAATGGTGCAGTATATACAAAATCTAGATGTGCCTGGTAAGGCCAGTAACTTATGGCAGGTCAAAGTCAGACCATGGATTCAGTGAAGACAATGGTTAGTGAATAGTTAAATCAGATGCGACAACAGAGTGTTAGGTGAAGCCATACATCTCTGAAATAGTTTTTTATACAACACAGTGAATGAACAAAGTTTATTGACCTAGGATCCAATATGAAGGTTAGAACAAGGACAAAGCCAACCTGTTTTATTGCTGTGAAGCTTCCTTTTATGGGATAGTTTCTGGTGCTCATTTTGAAATAATTTATGACAGAAGCCACATTATACATTTTCTGTGGATTTTTGAGAGGTCAAAATATGTCACTGACCCAAATTGAACCAGGTTAACATTTTGTTGTTAGGAACATGCTGCCCAGCATAATCTTTTATGCTCATTCAAATGCAAAACTTAAAGCAGTCCTGTGTGATCTTGGTCACCAGGACTGGTGAAAGGTCAAAAAAGATCACTACATCAAATGAGCATCATTGACCTTTTGCTTAGAACAGATAGCAAGGTTCTGGTGGACTTCAGACACTGACTTAGGGCTAGACCTTGTTTGACCTTATTTGACCTAAAAGTAATGACCCAGGAACCTCCAATTTTGGCACAAGTAAGTTAACATACAGGCCATGACATCCTGTGAATTTGGTATATTTAACCCCCTTAGTTTCTGAGATCTCAGAGGGTCAAATTAACCCTCACTCAAGTGAAGGTATTGAACCAGCCACCTGGAGTGTGTTAAGATATGTGGGTTAAGTATGAGACTGAGGGGCCAAGGCAGTGGGTGTAGCTTGTTTTGATAGAAGGTGTTTTACTTCATGAGAAAATTAAGGCAGGTGGAAACTCTCATGCTCTCTATAAATAAAATTTGAAAATATGTCCCAAGCTGAAAATTTGCAGGAATACAAATTGGTTTTCAAACTCTAAATTGCACACACTTACAATGTTATTGTTCCTAGAAAAATATTTCAATGCTGAAGCTGTATGCAAAAATACCATATCCAGTGGCCTCTTGATCCTGGGCATAATTGTCCCTCTGGCTACTTGTGTGAGTCCAGGAGCCCCTTGCTTAGTGCTGGTTCATTAAAGAACAAGAGTATGCCTGCTCATTACATACATGAGCTATTCTTTAAGCCCCTTTGGAACAGCATATTGAACCATGTTCTGCACACCTGTCTGGCCCATGTCATGATCACATGTTGCCTGTTGTTTCGTGAGAACTTGATGACAAATCACATGTGACATGCTCAAAGTGGTGTATTGCACGACGGCCGGTCGTGCTCCTTATGTGCTGCCGTGGGGGCGGGACGAGGCGCGCCGACCGTCACGCCGTCACGTGACGTCACGTGACGCCGCGCGCCCGTCTCCGGCAGGCTGTGGTCCGCCTGAGGCCGGCGTCAGGCTCGCCATCAGGATGGGGGGCGCCGTCAGCACGGGCGAGGACAACGACGACCTGGTGGACAACCTGGTGGAGCACGCGTGCATCACGTCGTGCCGCGTGGAGCGCGTCTTCCGCGCCGTCGACCGCGGACACTACTTCACTGACGAGTGCAGGGAGAGCGCTTATAAGGTGCGCCGCCGCCGCTGGCGTCGGACCGGGCACGCCAAGCTCACACATGGCATCCGCTGGGCACACTCAGGTCGCGCGGGGCGCCAGCGGCCCGCGCGGCGCCGGCCACAGCGGCTGCCCGCCCGCCGACGCCGCCGGCTGCGCGGAACGGCTGGGATCGGCGCGCGCTGGGTGTGTTCTTTGCTGTGCACCGGCGGGAGTACGCCCCTGCGTCGGCGCGCGCTTCACTGTTCGTGTGCTCCGTCGGCAGGACACGGCATGGCGCAGCGACAACCTGCATCTATCAGCGCCGTGTATCTACTCGTCGGTGATGGAAAACCTGACACTGAAGCCCGGCCACAGCTTCCTCAACATCGGCTCCGGCACCGGCTACGTCAGCACTATGGTCGGGTTGATGATCGGTGAGGAACGGGACTGTCTCAGCCTGTGCAGGAATCAGCGAGTGACACGTTTGCCATGGTCGTCTGGTGTTGAACACAGATAGAATTTGGTGAATTGTCGATGTCAATGCGAGTGGGTTGGTCATTCACGAATGATTATTCCAGTGTGGTTGAACCGGTTTCTTGTGATAGGAAACCTCACAACAATGTGATGGCAGTCTTAGAAGCTCAGCAGCGCCTCGGCCGCCCGGTCGCAGCTTGACCGTACGGGGCTTTTCGGACCCGGTGCGGTCCAGTGCGGGCCGCCGCCGCCGGCTGGCCTCTGACAGGAGCGCGGCCGGCCCCACACGACCGTGCCCCGAGCCGCCGCCGCCGGCTGCCGGCGCTGTCGACCGCCGCCGCCGCTCGCCCGACCGTGTCGCGGTCCGACGAGCCGGCGGCTGACGCGGCGCGTCTCACCGGCCGCGTGTCCGCCTCCCGCCGGCAGGCAGCCAGGGCGTCAACCACGGCGTCGAGCTGTTCCAGGACGTGATCGACTACGCCCGACAGCGGCTGGACGAGTTCAGTCGGCACTCGTCGGCCATCGACCAGTTCGACTTCTGTCCGCCGCAGTTTGTGTGCGGTGAGCGCCGCCGACCGCTGGCTGGGACAGGCTGGGGCGGGACTCGAGGGCGTCACACGCTGACCGCACGCCCAGCTTGCGGGCTGAACGGGCGGTCCGGGGCGCCGACATGCTGGGGATCGGTTGGTAAATATTCAACAAATGGTGTACGGGATCAGTTTCGCTTTATTTTCAACATGCACCAGCTGTTTTTAGTTCAAACCATTTATACCCCAAATAGCATCCTACATGTTTGCATTGGCACGGTATGGTGCGTCTACATTGTGTTGACATGCATGGAACAGCTGTGCGCTCCATCAGAAACGCCGCGAATGGGCGCCGTATGACCAACGTAGTCGGTGCGCCCCAAAGCCCAAATCATCATCATCAGAAACGCCGCGGAGCGCCGCCAGAACGACGTCGGGCGTGACGTCCCCACTCAGCGCAGTCCCAACCCGTGCACACCGTGCGAACTGGCGCTGTACACCGCGCAGCTGCGGGGACCATGGAGCATGGAAGACGTTCCCTTGCGTGTGAGATGACACGGGGTTCCCAGCCAGCGCCGCGGTGTGGCTGGTCGGCTGGGCGGCCGGCTGAGCCAGCCGTCCTGTTGCAGGCAACGGCCTGCTGATCGGCGTCGGCCGGCAGTATGACCGGGTGTACTGCGGCGCCCGCTGCCCCACCTCCGAGCTGCCCTACCTCAAACAGCTGCTCAAGGTCAGTACCCGGCGGCTGCCCGGCCTCGGGTGCCTGGTGAAGGTGGGGAGCCTCGCCTGGTGTCGCCCTACCTCGAACACCGGGTGATTGTGGGGACCCTCACCTGGTGCCGCCCTACCGTAAATGCCTGGTGAGCGCGAGGAAAGGCGGCAGTTTGGCCACCCTCACCGGGGGCCGCCCTGCCGCCGCCGCTCTGGTTCAGTGCTCTCACTTGGAGCTGTCCTACCTCAACTAGCTCTCGAGGTCGGCACCATCACGATCGCTTGGGGCTGACGCGATTCAAACGGCTATCTCAAGCTGGTCAATGTTGCGACCTTCACCTGGCTTGCCATTGAGCAACGGCTAGCAACTGACATTATTACGACAGAGCGTGGGTAGGTTTTCCTCTGCCATGTCACGTTCTTTGTTTGCATCGCTATAACGCTGGCCGCTGGGGGGGCTAGACATTTCCGGTCGGCCGCTCTGCATCGGCGGGGCCGTGGGACGGGCGGGCGCGGCGGGCGTCCTAGCCTCGGGCGGCTCGCCGGATCGCCGGTGGCCGGCGGCTGTCTAACGCCCGTTTCTCGCTGCCGGCTGTCAGGTGGGCGGCGTGCTGGTGGTGCCCATCGTGGACCACCTGAAGCGGATCGAGCGTCTCGCCGAGGACCGCTGGGACGTGCAGAACAAGCTGTCCGTCTCGTTCGCGCCGCTTATTGAGCCTCGCGTCAGTGACACAAGACCGAGCTGGCGATGCGTGAGTACATGGGACGGGCGTCAGTGGACACCAAGACCGAGCTGGCGATGCGTGAGTAGCATGGGACGGGCGTCAGCGGACACAAGACCGAGCTGGCGATGCGTGAGTAGCATGGACGGGGCGTCAGTGGACACAAGACCGAGCTGTCGATGCGTGAGTAACATGGGACGGGCGCCGCTGGGTGCCCGAACGCCTCTGAAATCACCGCCGCCGGCTGGCGCTGGCGACAACACGTCAGGTGTTTTTCGAGGGTGCTAACCCCGCAAGGTCAGCTGTGTTGCTCGCACTGGACGTCAGTTGGCTGTTGAGTCATGGTTCCAGACGCGCGCTGGCTCTTTTTCGTCCGTGATCGGCTGTGTAACCTGGTGAGTTGTGTCGCTGCTGGCCCCAGCTGGCCGACGGTCTGACCGTGGTGTACTGCTGACGTACCGCGCGCTGGCTCTGTTTCGTCCCTGATCGGCTGTGTGACCTGGTGAGTCGTGTCACTGCTGGCCCCAGCTGGCTGACGGTCTGGCCGTACTGCACTGCTGACGTGCTGCGCCGGCGAGCGCCGTCTGACCGCTGACGTCACACACTCCCCCCAGCTGCCGTGATACCCGGCTCGCTGCAGCAGCTGTGCCGCACCAGCATCCGCGAACTGCTGCGTCAGACCCTGCTGGCCGAGCGGCCCGACCTGGTGACCAGCTGTCGGCAGCGGCCGGTGCGGCGCCGCCGCCCTCCCGACCGGCACGCCGAGCAGGCGCGGCGCATCCAGCGCCTGGTCAGTCCGCTGCTGAACGCGGCCGTGCCTCCCGGCGCGGAGGGCGAGGCCGCCCAGGAGCTGCTGCAGGACCCGGCGCAGCTGCACCCGCTCGGCCAGATCCTGTACGGCGCCGTGGCGCACATGGCCGCCGACGAGTGGGAGCGGGGCTCCGGGCTCCGGCTCCGGCGACGACTCGGGGCACTCGGAGGAGCCGTACGCCGAGCTGGCTGCCGGCGACGGCGAGCCGGAGCAGGAGCCGGAGCAGGACGAGGAGCGGGAGCCGGAGCAGGGACCGGGGTCGGAGCTGGAGCTGGCGCCGGCACCGGAAGAGGAGCCGGAGCGGGTTGCCGACGCCGCGGAGGCCGGCGAGGCAGAGCTGGCGGCGCCGGCGGCCGGCGCGGACGCCGGGCCGGAACGGTCGGGCCTGAAAGCGCTCCAGCGACGGCGGCGCGCGCGGCGAGCCGGCGGCCGGCGCCGGCCCGTCGGCCGTGCAGAAGCGCGGCCGCCGCGACAAGGTGGACAGCGGGCTGGGCGACTCGGATGACGGGCGCCCGGTGCCGCTGCGGCCGCGCGCCGCCTCCGACCCCGAGAATGGCTTGGCGGCCAGCTCCGACTCGGAGCCGGAGCCGGAGCTGGAGCCTGAGCCGGAGCCGGAGCGGGAGCTGGAGCGGGAGCCGCTTCTGTTGCTACCGCCCGCTGAGAGCTGGGGCGTCGGCATGACGCGGGCGCGTCGCTTCCGCTCCGATCTTAACCGCTTCCTGGTCGACTCGGACGAGGAAGCGGACGGAGGCCGACGGCGGCCGCGCCGCTCGGCCCGCGCGCGCCGCGCCGCCTCCGCCGCGCGCCTCCTGTCGCAGCTGATGCGCGCGCGCGTGGCGGCGCTGCCACTGCCGCCGCCGCTGCGCGAGTACGTCAACCTGGGCCGGCCGCTGCAGCCGGCGGCGGCGGCCGAGACGGACGCCGGGCGGACCGGCGGCGGCGGCGGCGACGGCGACGGCGACGGTGGCGAGGCCTGAAGAGCGGGTACGGCGGCGCCAGGCGACGGACAGCCCTCCACTCCGGCCTGTGATAGCATGATGGGTGGGTGCGACGACGGCGCTGCTGGACTTGTCGCGTTTCGCGTCTGGTCCGCCAGTGGTGACGTGCCCGTGCCGGGCACAAAGACGCTACGTTATCCCGGTGGTGATTGCGTGTGGCCTCCGCACAGGGAAGTCGTGTGAATAGGTGCACAGTGTATAATAGCTGTTGAAGTGAACAGTGAACAGGATGCTGTTAAACCATGTCACGAGTAGTGTGTGGTGCCCGATTTCTGATCGAGTGCGGTTGCTGTGGCTTCTGGGCACTCAGCTCTGCTAACAGTAACAGCTGCATGCGATAAGTTTACCGAGTGAGCTCTTCACCAACATGGACACGTCCGTTTTCCCTTCCAGACGTTGTCAGAGGTTCGGCGGCTTGTTGCCGAGCCGTGAGGTGTTGCGCGCTCGTGGAGCCCTGCTGTCTGGCAGGGCGCGCAGTGGGGGCTGCCCCGTAGGCCAGCCGGGCGGCTCCAGTCCATAGGCGCCGACGTCGGGGGGGGGGGGGGGGGGGCCGTTGCGTCGTCGGCCGACCGTGTGACCGTCTGACTGAGCTCGCGCGGTACTGGCCGCCCCGCGCCGCCGGCGCTGATCTGGTGAGCACGCGAATCTAGAGGCGGACGTATTTTCATACCCTGCGCTGCCACGCGCCTACTCCATACGGCGCCGATGTACAGAGGAGAAGGGGTAGGGCGGGGGGGGGGGGGGGGAGACGCGGTCGGGCGGTGGCGGCGCGCCGGCGGGAACAGTGTTCAGATGAAGTCCCCGAGGGCGCCGCTCGCCAGTCCCGGCGATTGACGCGGACCCGCGCGCCGCCGCTCCGCTCAGAGGCGGGGCGGGGTGGACTCGGCCGACTCGGACTCGGACGCGACGGGCAGTGTCTGGTCTCGATGTGAGCGGTCCGAGGTTGTTGAAGACGTCACCTGCGGTGCCAGGTCTGGCGGCAGCTCGGCGGGGTGCGCTGTCGGACGTGGCTCGGGCAGTGCTGCCCGCTCCCGCCCCCGCGCTCAGCAGCGAGGCGCCGCGTTCAGAGGGTGGGATATGGCTGTGGTGGAACCTGTACGAACTGGGAGAGGCGGCACCGTTGCTTTACTATACTAATGTACATCCGGGGTATAACCTAATAAACCATGTACCATAGTCGGTTGTGTAGCGAAACGGTCCCTAGGCTGTGTGGTTCATTGGTTACCAGCGGGGTTCAGGACTTCAGAACGGGTCTAACCAAATAAACATTGCATGATAACCCAGCGTATAGCGCAATGCGCGCGCGGCCTGGCTCGTTGGCAACCAGAGGAGTTCAGGCTTTCTGAGCGCGAGACCTGAGCTTGGAGGGGAGAACATCATCAGAACATCAGAGCACAACCGATAACCAAAAGAGCATGCGTTGTTTTTCCCGGGAACATGAGAGAATGTACTTCCCAACCTCATTTTTTGAATACCTCGTTTCACACGTGGCCATCAGCGCCAGGTCGGATGCTGCACCGTCGTACAGCTGAGAGCACCGCGGCGTGTTGGCTCGTGCGCTCCTCGAGCGGCGACACATGTCCTCGCAGGGGAGCTGGCGTGGCGTCGGGCACACCAGCGCATGGTAGACGTGGAGGTTCCCGTCCCAAAAGCCGTCCTCGAATGGATTATCAGTGACGGCTGGGTGGCCAATGTTAAGAGTCGCGCTGGTAGGAGCCGGCGTGAAGAAGCATGAAAAGAAAACGTTCCGTGAAAATGCCCGTCGAGCTGTACTTGCCGAGCTGGGTTGGCTTTCATCAAGATCGGGGCGTAGTATGGGTCACTCGTCGCCGGGATATGGCCGAGTGCCCTTAGGGGTGGGCCAGGGGTCAACGTCCGATAGATAGCTCAAAGCCTCGTCATGGAAGCACCGTGTCTGGAACGCGGCGCCACGTGTCTGCCACGGGTGTCAGCGTGCCAAGAAGTCGTACCAACTGATATGCAAAGGCCGCTTAGAACAATACATAGCCGGGACGTTGGCTATGAACGCATGAGCGGTTACCGAACCACGTGTCTGGGTCGGCGCCCATAACTGCTCGTATTCTCGTCAGCGCCGGTCCGGGCGGCCGGCGCCGCTGGGGGAGACCCGGCGCGGGCGCTAGTCGGTTTATTGACCCCGTCCGAGGGTCGCGGGCGACACTGCCAGGGCGGCGGCGGCGGCGACAAACGGCGCAGCGGGCCGCGCGGCCTCGCCGCTGCGGCGCGGCTGACGGTGAGTAGAAAACTATGAGTCGGTGCAGGCGGGGCCAGTTGGCACTGAGACGCTATTAGTGATTACAAAGGACTGTACACACCGGCGCAGGCGTCGACGCACGCGGCCGCGTCTCCTCTGTCTTTTCCGTCGCAACAGGCATCTTTAATTCACTACCTACGGCGCTATCCATTAAATACATCTACGTGTGATGGCATATGGCAACAAAGGCAGTCACAGGACGCACGCGCAAGCTCCAGCACAGTGAGGCGGTGAGGCGGCCGGCGTTGGCGCACTGTGTCCGCACCGCGCGCTTCCCGTTTCGCTTCGTCCCCCGCACACGCATTCCAGCAATGTTACTCGGCGCGCGGTGCCCGAGGGCAGGTGACGTCATCGGACGCGCTGTGACGTCACAGCATGTTTGGCCGCGAGCCGTAGTTGTTCGTCATCATGATGTTGGTGACGAAGTTGACGATGGCCGAGGCCGGCTGGTCCGAGTCGTATTCGGCGAACAGGTGGCACTGGTTGTTGCCAGTGGATGGGCCCTTCTTGGCCACGAAGCCGAAAATGCGCCTGCAATCGAGGGAGATGTTACCCAGCTGACTGGTTGCACGTCTCTTTCATGTAGAGTTCGATGAAAATTAAGCGCATCATTGATGCCACGCCATGTTTGCATGCCGGGTAACACGACGTTAGCCTGAGAGTGAACTACTGACGACTGCTTACCCGTCTTAGCTGGCCAAAACAAGCTCATTACCTAGAGCTCGACTATTTCTTTGCAAACATCATTTATGTATGGCGCAACAGGAGCATGTAATCTCACAGAAGATGTGTCGGCAGCAAGTCTTAGTTACACGACATTTGTGAACCCCTGTTTCCATGCGAACGGCCACCAGCCAGCTTCCATCATATTGCCCCACATTCCGCCGGACTTTCGAACGGGCCGACAAACAAGACGATCTGTCCGAAGGTCAGAGACCGCCGCCTCCCAGCCTCCGGCCCGCCCGGCGGCGGGCAGCTCACTCACAGCGAACCGAGTGGCTGCCCGTCGTCGCCGCGCAGGGTCCAGCGCCGGTCCTCCGGGTCCAGGCCGCAATGGGACACCAGGTTCGTGTTGTAGTGGCGCCTGCAGGCCGGCGACCGGTCAGTGTCACCGGGGCGCACGAACAGGGGCACACGGGCTGGACAGCGATGGTGTGACGGATGCCCGCCGAAACCGTCAGATTTCCAGCTCTGGGGCGTGAGACATCGTCAAACTTCCCATCATTGGAACCGATTTTACTCGTTCCTCTGATGGATGGTTGGTTGCTTATGAATAATGTCCTTGACGCACGGTCAACACGGCCATCAGGCAGGTCCAGCAAGGGTCACCCAGTGGTGCTCCACATAACCACAACATCCAGCTCTGCTTGACGACGGTCGCTTCTGTCCAGCGCGGCCGGCCGCCCCATCTCCGCCCAGCGCGCCAGCGTCCCACCTCTGTCCAGCGCGGCCGGCCGCCCCATCTCTGCCCAGCGCGCCGGCACCCCATCTCTGCCAAGCGCGCCGGCGACCCACCTCTGCCAAGCGCGCCGGCGACCCCACCTCCGCCCAGCACGGTCGGCCGCCCCACATCCGCCCGGCACGGTCAACCGTCCCACCTCTGCCGGCGCGCCGGCGCCCCACCCCTGCCCAGTGCGCCGACCGCCCCACTTCTGCCCAGCACAGCCGGCG